TAGAAATGTAATCAATGCTTAATCTTCAAAGTATATCACATAAAAATCACCATTTACAATGTACATATTTATCTTAAGATACAACTATATGCGTTAGTTTTTATTCAACTTTATGAGTACTCCCCATTACAAATATGCTACATATAGAGGGTTATCAAGTGGCATATAAAGAATAATATGCACCCGGTGCTGGTGGCTCGTGCCTATAATCCTAGCTACTCAGGAGGCAGAGAACAGGATTTAGCCTGGGCAAAAAATTCTCGATCCTATCTCGAAAAAACCCATCACAAAAAAAGGCTGGTGGAGTGGCTCAAGGTGGTCCTGAGTTCAAGGCCCAGTACCACAAAAAAAAAAATAAATAAAAAATATACTTAACCACTACCTGGATTTGAAACTGTCCTTCACCCAACATTTGAAGGAAAAAAGATGCAATAATAATATTCAGAGCCAATATCATTTAGAAAACAAGCATATGATTGCAAGTGTGATTCAAGAAGTATTATAGGCTGACAGTTTAGCTCAGTAGTTCAGAATGTTTGCTTAGCATACATGAGGTCCTGGGTTCAATCCCCAGCACCACCAAAAAAAAAAAAAAAAAAGAGTGGTATTATAAAATTACAAAATATTGTGGGATTTATTTTTAGTATTAAGGACTGAACCCAGCAACCCTCACATTTTAAAAATATATATTAAAAAGTCATACACTTCTTTCAAGAAGTGAAAAGTTTTATCAAAATCAAACCAGTTTCTCAACTTCCCAACGGTCAGCAATCATTGTAGTGAAATGAGGTAAATAACTACAACTCCAAACTGAAAAATTCTTTTTCAACTAATTTTGTTTTTACCACTTAAAAAAAGGAAAAAATAACTAGAAACAAAATGAAATACAATATTAAGAAAAAAGAAATTAGCCTAGTATTTATGGTGGGTTATATACCACCTATCATATCACACACACACACATACACAAATAACTGGTCTATATGAAATTTTAGTAAGCCTGAGTTGGGAGTCATCCAAGTACTATACAAATAATGAAGATGCAGACTGCAAAAAGAAAACAGATCTGAATAAAACAAGCGAAACATTATAGGTAAAGCATTGTTGTTCCATTTTATACTACCATATGATTCAAAGTGACTGATTAGTTCCATGAATGGTTTGTATGGAACAAAAGACATGCACTTATTGTTTTTTTATATAAATAAGACTTAAGTTCTATTTAATGAATGTGCTACTTACTTAAAAACAAAAGAAGGTAAGGCTCTCTAGAATCCTCAGTCTCTCACACACACAGCTCAAAAAAAGGAAAAACACAGGATCTTGGCTACTACACAGCATATTTTATGAAAATATACAATCTTTCTCTCTCCTCCCCCTCATATGTATGATAACCAAATGAGAAGTTGTCTAAAATACTATGTCAATCCTACTTGGGGGTTTTATAATTTTTGTATCTATAGAAAAGTAAGTTGGCAATGTTTTAATGATAGCTATAACAACAGGGGACTCCCTCAGTGGAGATCCTGCAAGTTCATTCATGAAGGGCCAGGCCTATGTCTCATTCATCTTCCTAACCTCCTACACAGTCTCAAGCTCACAGCATGCATTTGGTTTGCTGAAATAATCTGCTTTTATTCATTCAGCAAGCACTTATTTGGTACCTACTATATGCCAGGCCTTGTTAGGTAGTAAGGTATTCATTAGTGAGTAACACAGGTTACAGTCTCTGCCTTTGTGGATTTAATAATTCAGTGGGGGAGGCAAACAAATAATTAAACAACAAATAAGATCATTAAATTTGTGATAGATGCTATAAAGGAAACAAACATGGTACAATGACTAGGAAAACCTACTTTAGAATAGTTGGAAAAGGTCTCGCAAACCCTTTTTAAACCTAAATATAAATGAGAAGGAGCCTACTAGTTAAACAGCATAAAGCTTGATAGGCTATTTTCTAAACTAACATAAAGGCAGCTTAGCACAAATTTAGTTAATTCACTAAGTAATTTTCCATTATGAAATTTTCAATTTTCAAAAATCAAATAAGAATGTCATACTCCAGCCTTCTCCAACCTAAACATCAATAGTCCTGGAGCACTCTTTATATATAGTTGTATGTCTGTAACAATCCCAAAATTGATATTTCTATAAAACATATCACTTTTTATTAAGAATATCTTTTACTAAAACATAAAAATAATTTTAAAAAAGAGTATCTTCTACATAATTCAAACAGTAATAAAATAATTAGAGGTTTTTTTTTTTTTTTTTTTTTTTACAGTACTGGGGTTTAAATTCAGGGTCTCATGCTCATTAGGCAAGTGCTCCAGTACTTGAGCCATACTCCCAGTCCGAGAAAATAAATATTTATAGGGCAGTCACTCTGTCTTAGTACATTAAAGCATAAAGTCTCTCAAGTACTACCACTATAAAATTAGCAAGATAAACCTTTATACTCAAATTTTGTGCTGGCAGAGGAAGTAGAAGGTATGTGCGTATTTATATACACATACAGATATATAAACTTGTGGGTGAACAGAAAGACATTATTTTGGGGAACTCATTGCAGTCCACAGTCTAGTTCTTAAGATAGGTCCAGGAAGCTCAAATCAAAACCAAAATCAAATTCAAAAAAAGCCAGAATTGTATTTTATAGTCAAATATAATCTTACTGATTATATTGTTATAATCCCACCCATATCAATGTATTAATCTGCACAGCCTTCCAAGTGAACCTGCACCTGTACATCAAAATTTATTATCAGGAAGCTAAATGTATGATAAGAATCAATGTTTGATGAATATGGAATCAGACTGAGATCTTTTAGAGAGGCCATGGCCAGGAATGATCAAATGTTCAGTCCCTCAACAAAGACTACCCTTCTAATTACCAGAATTATCATGAACTCCAGATGATGTATCTTTCTCCTTTGTACAGCAGTATATAAACACTGCCGAATTCTGCTTTTCAGTCTTTTTAAATGTTCAGTGCTGAACCATCCATTCCATTTCTGCAGATACAGCCTTTCTTTAGATATGTTAATGTCATCTATTGAATTCAATTAAAAAATTTCAAAGTGTTGGGCTGGTGGAGTGGCTCAAGTGGTAGAGTGTTTGCCTAGTAAGTGTGAGGTCCTAAGTTCAAACCCCAGTACTGCAAAAAAAACAAAACAAAAGAACTGGATTCTTACATGTGCTTCCACCTGTGAAATGTGATGCTATATCATCCATTAATGTAGCCTGTGGACACACATGAGTGAATGGAAATGGAAAAGGCAAATTATATTGCCAGATGCCAGTGGCTCATGCCTGTAATCCTAGCTACTCAGGAGGCAGAGATCAGGAGGATCGTGATTCCAAACTGGGACAAATAGTTCATAAGACCCTATCTCGAAAAACCCCTTCACAAGAAAGGGCTAGTGGAGTGGCTCAAGGTGTAAGGCTCAAGGTCCAAACTTCAGTACTGCAAAAAAAAAAAAAATTTCAAAGTGTGTATTCTACATGCTTAGGCACTATATTGGGTACTAAATACACAAAGTTAAAAAAGATATGAGTCACATCTTCAAGAATTCATCTTCTATTGTGGATGAATTTTAAAAGATTGCCAGTCTTTTAAAATGTCTCTGCTTGTGTCTACTTTTATCCATTCTGTGAGGATGTTGTTTAATTTTCAGAGTTCTAGGAATACTTTACCATTGCCCTTACATACTAACAACAAGGGACGTTTTATACAGAAGTAACTGAAGTACTAGGGAGTTGAGTAGCTTGTCTGAAATTACTAAACTAGTAAGTGGTGAAATCAAAATTCAAATTCTAGGTCTTTCTGACTCCAAGGATCATACAATCTTTCCTCTACTCCATGGAGTCTCTAAGAAACCAAAAAAGATTGAGAGAAATACATGAAGTGCTGAGGACAGTTCCTCACATATCTTCCAATTTAATTACTATGTCTGCCAAACTAAAAGCAACAATATTAAGTTATAAATCTGCAGCTTTTAAATCTCCCATTAACTACTTAAGGCCCCCAAACTTAATAAGCCAAGAATGAATAAATAATGTTCATTATGGTAAGTCAAGGCCCAATTCGCTGTTATTTAGTACTCTCAGAAAACAGAATCAAAACCCAGACCACCTTTCTAGTAGAAAGCTCTAATCTCAGCAAAAACAATGGCCCTTTAGTATCGAACATACTTAAATTTTATTTCATATTTTAAGACTTACTAAAGCACATTTAAAGTGAATTATAAAAAAAAAAGTTAAGGACCAATTAAACAAAAAGACAATGTAAGAAGTGCACTGCTAGACAGTATCCCAAATCACTTAAAAGTTTAAATTGCATATTTTGTTGATAATATTTTCCCTTCATTTATACTGAATTATTAAAAAGAAATACTTCGTAGCCCCAGTACTATCTTCTGTTTCTCATGTTTTCATGAGCAATCCATGACAAAGATTCAGCTAAGCACTGAAATTACTTAAACACAAATCCTAGTGTTCACATAAGAAAAATGTGATGATTGGGAAAGGGAGAACAGGAAATGGAGGAGGCAGACTATTAGGTGGGAATGCACTGAGACTATAAACACCAGAAACTGCAACTCATCAAGCAGGAAGTCCTGAAATCACATGATAGGCAGGAAAATGAAATTTAAAAATAAATGAAAAAGGAGCAAGATAGAAAGGTCCAGCAGTGCTTAAGGGAAAAAATGGAAAGGCTTTAAATAGACACATGTGTGTTGTTTAAAAAAAAAAAAAAGTTAAATATGTTTAAATAAATAAGTGACAGTCGAGAGACTACTTTCACTTTGTAGTTATGTTTTCCTAATATTTACTCAAGAATCACATTAACACCTATTGTCAAAACACTAGAGAACTTTCTCTAACCAAATATTTACAGGGACCACGGGATTTTTTTTTTTTTTCACTAAAGACAACTGAAAAACTCAGTGTATTATATTCACAATTGAGATATACCATCTGAATTAAACTGATCTTACCCATTAATGTTGCTAAAAGACACAAGGAGTACATCTCTTTGTCAGCTTGCTCCTGAAGTTCCTTAGATGACAGTTTACCAGTAACAGCAATCTCTTCTTGGTTCACCGTGTGGGCTGAGTGTGCTGCAGCAGACTGACCACCTTCTGCTTTGCTTTTTAGAATCTCTATAGTAATTCTGTCACCATGCTGTAAAGGAACTGGCTCCTTTTCCATTCCTGCCTGTGGTGGCATTAACTCTTTAGGAGGAAAGCCATATCGAATGCACTGTAAATATGGAGGAATGCTGAATTCTCTGGCTATACTTTCCTGAAGTTCAAAAAAGGTTGTTGAAGACTTAAGTGTAACCATGGACTGTCGTCCATCATTAGTTGTAATTCTGATCTTCTTCTCCTTTGAAGTTGTAGGTGAATAAGGAGCCTTGGTAGGGGTAGCAGGTGCAGAGGATGGGCCATCACGAATGGCACTGGGAGAAACAGTTCTGTGCTGCCCTTTTTGTTCTTGTTTTAACTTCTCTGTTTTCCGTTTCTGCATTGCAGAAGCTTGTTCTGTAATATTCTGTTGAATAGTTCTTTCAGTTTTGCTCATGTTTAACTCTTCCTTGTGCAAAGTTTTTGTTTTCTGTCCAGTAAGAATAATCTTAGTAGGGAGCTGAGACTCTGATTCTTGCCCTTGCACATCTCCAACTCTTTGGGCATGAGCACCATCTATGTTTACAGGAGTATAATCATCAGGATTCTTTTTGGCAGTCTGATGCAATATAGTGTGGACAACTTTCTGAACTAGGATTTCACTCCCAAATTCACCTGGAAAGTGCTTGGTAACAAGTTTCATTGCAACATCATAAACATTACTATTCAAAGATGGATCACTTTCATACTGGAACCAATATACTGTTTCTCTGACCACTCTTCCTCCCCATTCCAAAGTAATAGGGAAAGCTTCTGGTAGATTGTCATACTCTTTACCATCCCAAAAGTGTTTGAATCCACAACCACATTTGCCACCAGTAGACCTAGAATTAGTTCTGTCTCCATCCAAATACACAATAGATCCATCTCCCCTGACCCTTCGCACAGATGAGCCATGGCACCAATTACAAGCTGTTAGGTTACTCAATCCATAGTCTGGTACCAGAACATCTTTCACTGAATCATATGAGCAAACCAAATTGTTCAAAGGAAAGCTATAATTTTTGTCAGGCCTCAGCTGTCCATGAGTACTTTTTGCCAGGTTATACAGTTTACCTCCTGGAGCCAGCCACTCTGGAGGGACATGAAGTTCAGAAAGGGCACCACAGAGCAAACATTTGTGAAGGCGATTATCCATTACTGCTTTTTTAGCAGCTGCTGTCACTTCTTCAGGCTGAACTCCTATCACTCCAGTCCTTCTGTAGAAATACTGATGGACATCAGCAACCAAACTAGGATGGATACCATGTTTATCCATAAAGACTTCTTCCATAGCAGCAACAAGCCTAAGTAAGTATTTATCTTGCAAACTTCTGTCTCCTCCAATAACACAACCACCGTCGTCCTCAAGTTTGATGTATTTTTTAATAAGATCCTGAGGCACACCCCATGCTTTAGGAAGCAAATTCATAGGCAGTTTGGGCAGAGCAGCCCCTTTTATGCCTACCAATGGGATATAATGGTTTCTACCAGAGCTACTCCAAGCAATACAGATTGGTTTGTTCAAATGACCATCTCTCCCAGTACACTTCTCTGCAGGTATGAGCCCAGGCAGAAAGGTGGCTGAATAATCACCAGAGCTTCTCATGCCACTGAGAGAATCTAACAGAATTATAGGACGATGTAATACATTAGCAAGGCCAAATATGTGGATGTTCCTCAGGCCTAAGGGAACACCCTCAGGTGGCACAAACAGAGGATCACACTCATTGATAATGTCCTCCCACTCAGCGGCATCAATAAAGTCGTGGAACAGGGCCTGATACCGGGCCAGGTGCTGCTGAAAGTGCTGCTTAAGATTCTCTCTTAGAGCATGCCAGAAGAGCTCGCGGCCTACCAGGGCCCTAGACACAGCATGCACCAGGCAGTGTCCATCCCCATCCACATGCACGGGAATGAGACACTCCTGACTTTTATTGGCCCGCTTGATATCCTCCAGAGTGTCATGCAAATACAAGAGGCTTCCAGAGCGGTCCTTGCCGTAGCCCACCGTGTTAACGTGCTCTGGTTCTATGAGGAAGGCACGGTCACCCAGTAAAGCGCAATCGAACAGTTCTCCCTGGTTCATGTCCCGGAGAAGCTTGGCCCGGCCTGTCTGTTTGTCCATTCCATAGCGAGCCAATATGGGCGACAACAATTTGCAGTGGTAGTTGGAAAGGCCCATCACCTTTACCAGTTCCGTGTTCTTCTTGGGTGCCCCCGTAACCCCGAGCAGCGCGTTCCGCAGCAGGTTATGCAGCACTACGTCCGGGTCGGTCACCTCCTCCACCCCCAGCAGCTGTTGCTGCTCGTGCCGCTGTCCGCACTCGGTACACTCGATGCTGACAGAACCGGAGGCCGGGAAAAACAGACGCGCCTGGCACTTCGGGTCCGGGCAGCTCCCAGAAAGGATTCTCCGGTCTCTCCGCTTCGAGAGCCCCCCCGGAGCAGCCGCCGCCGCCGCCAGAGACGACGGAGTCTGCGGGGCCTCTGGGGGAGGAGGTGGCGGCGGCAGCGGAGGCGGCGGCGGCGGCTGAGACATTGCGCTCGGCTCTGGTGTCTCGCTCCGCGTCCCAAGCGACCCTCACAGGCTCATAACCCAGACCCCCACCGACCCGACTCGGTCTAGTCCAGGCCCACAGCGAACCACTTTCCTTTTCCTACCAGCTCCTCTTCCTCCTAAGCGAAGGCGGAAGCACCGGACGTTGTTTTTCTTCTTACTTCTTCACTGCCTTAGCCGTTGCCCCGAACGTAACGGCCACCACCCTACCCCGCACTCAACACTCACTCACTCTCGCTCTCCCTCAGACCCACAGATATACACGCCCTCGCTGAGAGTGCGCAAGCGCAGCTTCCGCTCTGCACGCTGGGAATTAGAGTCTTCTCTAATTCTCTTGGTCGAAGTGCCAGGTTATTTTTGTCCAAATATAACTACATATACCATAATGCCAAGCGACGTGGCCGCCTGCGGAAAGGAGGAAGAGGAAGGCAATCGGAAGGGGGCAGAAGGGAAGAAGATGACTCGCGTGGCCTGCCGGGAGTTGTAGTTTAGCTACAGCTCCTTCATCGTCTTTCTTTCTCTTAGGCCCAGCCGAAATAGTCCGAGAGACCACATTTCCTAGGATGCTCTGCGGTGCGTCCACTGCACTTCCCCCTCGGGCAGAGAGGCGGCTGCGAGGAAGCTCGGTAAAAGGAGTTAAAGGGAGTGAGTGTTGTAGCGGAGGGACCAAAGTGCACAACTGCTGGAAAGGGAAGGCTCTCAATGAAGGAGGTAAATAAATGTCCAGGGATCGGGCAGCCTGGGAAGTTGGAGGAAAGTCCAGGCTTGGGGTCTTAAGAAAGGAGGAAGGGATAGTGGATTGATTCTTGGGGAGTCTCTTAAGGTCTTTTTTCTTTTTGCCAAACTCCCCCCCTCCCCCCCCCCGTTCTCATTCCAACTGCTATTCCAAGCCGCCCCGGCGCTAGAACCACCTTTTGTGCCTTTTGCTCCTCTCTAATGGGAGTTTCAAAAGCGCCATTTGGTTTCTGGTTCCTATATACCTTTTTACAATTTACAGTACAAATAACAATACCCTGGATGTGTATGGTTTTATATACATACACAGAATCTCTTAACTTTAGATATAATTTCGTTTGTTTTTTACAATCCTCCCCACTGAGACTCTGTAAAATAGACATTCACTCAGATGTTATAAGTACTGATTTGCACGTAATAATTGTCTGCAATCTTGTTCAAAAGAAATTACGTGCTTGAAAGAGTAATTCAAGTGTTAATTATTTTCTCGCCAGTTTTCCCTGGCCCGTGCAAAACTAATGCTCATGTACCTTCATTACAAAACGGGTGATGTTACCTGTCTTGAAGGGGCTATTTTTCAGTAAAGTTTTCCTCAAAGAATTAATTCAGGCAGGAAAAGATGTTTGCTTTTATTCCAACAGTAGGTACTACCTGGCAAACTACATAGGTTGGTCTTGGAACTAATTTTTAATTCAATGCTTTTAAGTGGAAGTTATTCTTTTCCTGTGACTGAGAAGTTACACCTGTAGTGAAAGTTTATTTTTCTCATCCAGAACACAAATAATTGAATTATTAAAGCATTGGAGCAAATGAAATGACAGCAGTGTGAAGTTCTAACCTGTTATGCACTTTTATGTCATAAGAAGCCAAATTCTCCTTACTAATGATACATACTAATATTAGTTTTTTAAATTGCATCTGAACATGTCACTTCAAATTGCACTTTGACAAAATAATCACTTCCCACCCCACTGAAGAAATGGGAGGCCTTTCTCTGGCTCGTCAAGCACAATCCACTTCACTGATCCCGTATTATTTCCTCATCTGGAATCTTGATTAGTGGAGATAATCTTTCCCAAAATAAATTTGCTATTTAAATTCATTTGTTATTTTGTTGCTCATAATTTTAAGAGTTATACTTTTTTGGGGAGGGAGGACCCAGAAGTTTCCTGAAGTATAGCTAACAGGGAGAGGAGTTAAGTATTCAAGCAATTATAGAATTAAATTTGGTCATTTAACCTGAAATTACTTCTTTAATAAGTCTGGAGATGTAATCAAAGTTCAGAAAATAAAGCACAATTAGAAAATAAGAAATAAGCTTAATTATCACAATTAAGGTGACAATAATATTATTGAATTAGTTATTCACTAGCACTTAGAAGGCATAGGTACCTACAAAGTAAGAAAAAGAAAACTTTATAAGGAAAGATAAGACATACTTCTTCTTCTATGGCCATAGGAGTTTTAGGAAGCCTCTAACTTGCTTCTGGAGATCCCTCTGCTTCCTTCTTCTTCCCCCCTCAAAAAATCATGATCTTAGTTGCCTAATTAAAATTAATTTAACTGCCAAGCACCAGTGGCTCATATCTGTAAGCCTAGCTCCTTGGGAGGCAGAGATCAGAAGGATGGTGATTTGAGGCCAGCCCAGGCAAATAGTTCATGAACCTGTATCTCAAAAATACCCAATACAAAAATGGGCTGGCAGAGTGGTTCTAGTGGTAGAGCACCTGCCTAGCAAACACAAGGCCCTGAGTTTAAACCTGAGTACCGCCCCGCCCCACAAAAAATTTAACTCCCTAATTAACTTCCACAGGATTTTTGTAAGGTAGATAATAGTTCTTGTTCTTGTGTCAGTATGCCAGATGGGAAAAAAGAGCCGGCACCTGTTAGCTGCTCTGATGTACACCTCCTCTCCCACCATCACCCCAGCATCACTCATATTTGAATTGCCAAAGTGCAGTTGAAACTGAAATAATTTTTCATAATTTCTGTGTGATACTTCTAAACTTCCTTTATTGCTTGTAACAAATGTGATAAATGTCAAAGAAAAACTCATTCACTTTTAGCAAGAAAACAACCATTGTTCTTTATCTTTACTTAAAGCTAGACTATAATACAAGCACAAGTATGGTATGGAAAACAAGTATCATAAATAGTATGAAATTTGTTGAGGCTTACTATAGAGCAGGTGTTTTTAATATATCATCTTAATTTTTCAAGTATTCCTGTGAGATAGTATAGTCTTTATTGTACAGATAATACATAACTCCAAAAGGTTAACAGTGTCGTCATTGTTATTACCACCCATCTAGCAAGTAGCAGAGCTGGGCTTCAAATCAAGGTTTTCCTTGTTCAGCACTCTTTCTACTACATCATAGCTGCTTAGTAACTCAGAGAATTAACCAAGAAGTGAGTATAGACTGGTGGCCAGTGGCCAAACATGGCTTAGATGTGTTTTTGTTGGGCCACCAGCAATTCAACTTTTTTGTTTTGTTTTGTTTTGGTAGTACTGGGGTTTGAACTGAGGGCCTCACACTTGCTAAATAGTTGCTCTACCACTTGAGCCACTCCACCAACCCCTTAACTTGTTTTTAATGTAAACGTTTTGGACAGTGACCAGCCCTTCACACTTTAAGGTGTCTCATCAGGCCATCTTGAGACAGATTACCTGTCTGGCTCCAAAAGCATTTGTGCTTTTTCTATCAGTTAGTAGCTGGGACAGGAGGAGCTATTCTCAAGAGGCTCATATAGCACTCAGGAGGCTAAAGTAGGAAGATTGTGAATTGGAGGCCAGTCTGGGCCTGGGCATCAGAGCAAGTTAGAGGCCAACCTTGGCAACAGAGCAAGACCTTGTCTTTAAAAAAAAGTTTGTGGAGAAAGCATAACCAAGAGTGGAAAGAGGACTTTTTCCCCTCATGTTTCACAGAAGAAGCATTGTTTTTATTGTTGCTAGTTTTTTTTTCCAATGTGGATTTTTATTAGTATATATTAATTGTACAAAGGGGTTACACTGTGATGTTTCATACATGCATATATTGTACATTAATCAGGTTAATCTCTTCTTTTGCTCCCCACCCCCCTATTTTCAGTGAGTTGCATTTTGCCACCTTCATACAGAGACAATGATTTAGCTTTGCCCCCTCCCCAATCATTGTCTTTCCCTGTCCCATTCCCTCACCCATAGTCCCTTGATTATGTTTTGGTATGTATGTATATATTTATCTTTTGGGTCTAGTTTCCACATAAGAGGGAGAACACACAACACTTGTCCTTCTGAACCCAGCTTACTTAGCTTAGCATGGTGACCCTCAGTTCTGTCCATCCTCCTGAAAATGCCATAATTTCATTCTCCTTTATGGCTGATTAATACTCTATGTTGTGTGTGTATATGCTCGGGAGGCAGAGATTAGAAGGGTTGTCATTCTAGGCCAGCCAAGGCAAACAGCAAGGACCTCCTCTCCAACCTTACCCCTAGCCTCAACCACTGGCACATACCTCTCATCCCAACTACATGGGAAACTGAGACTATGAGGATCACATTTTCAGGCCAGCCCAGGCAAAAACTTGAGACCCCATCTCAACAGAAAAGGCTGGGCATGGTGTAGCACACCTTTCATCCTAGCTACTGCTAAAATAGGAGCATTTTGGCTCATGGCACCCCTGGGGGAAAAAGCAAGATCCTATCTCAAAAATAACCAGGAAAAAAAAAAAAGGCTGGAGGTGTGACTCAACTGGTAGAGCACCTGCCTAGCAAGTGTGAGGCCCTGGATTCAAACCCCAGTACTGCCAAAAGAAAAGTCAAAAGGAATTGCTTGTCATAGAGTGTTTAAAAAATAAGTCCATAAGGAAAGTAAAATTATCCATTACCAATTAGAGGTTACAATTATGTTTCTGATAGAATGAATATTCAAGGTCTTTATTTCAATACATATAGTATGTACTTTTTAAGTAACCAAAATTGTATTATCATTATAATAATAGCTATTAACACCTATTTAGCATCTACTGTACATCAGGGTCTTTTCATGTATTTACTTAATCTGATAATACCATTATGAGGCAGCTCCAATTATGATCATTCCTATTCTGGAGATGAAGAAACTTAGGGGCAAAAAGGCTGAGATTCAGTCTCGTTGTTCATAAGTGTCATCATTAGGATTAAAATCAAAGCAATCAGAGTCTTTACTTCCATTTCCTGCATGGGGAACAGGAAATGTTTCTCCCTTTCTCCTCCCCTCACTTCTCCCTCCTTCCTGTTATACTAAAATAAACCCTTGCTAAAACTTTCAAAAAAAGCAATCTGTTACCAGAGCCTATGTACCTGACCACTATGCTACACTGACTCTTCTACTGTACATACTGTTTTTAACCTATATTGCTTAATCACGTCATGAACAGCCTTGATATAGTTAAGTCTCATTTTAACTGAAACCCTACTCTTTTCTTTTGAAATATGTCAAGCATTCAAAAGTATACAGAAAAAC